GTCCACCAGTACTCCAATGCACAATAAGTAGGTAAAGAATCACTACAAACCTATAAAGAGCTGACAGATCTTTTGTTTTTAAAAAAAATTAAATTGCAAGGCAGCAACCACCCACTTTTAAATTTATAACTTGAGCTATAATTAGCAACAGCAACTACAGCATTTATAAAATACAGTTAACTTGAAAAGTTGGGCTGCCAAGGCTCAAAAAAATTGGGACTCTATTATACTCTGTACTGTGCTGTGCTAAATTGAAGGAGTAGGAAGAAAAAGTATGATTCTTATGCCACCACACAGAAAAATGCATTCTGTTTTCTTCCCATATTGGGTTGTTTCTTCTTCATACGTGGAATGTGCAAGAGCAGGGGGCGGCAAAGAACGAGTGGGAGAGTTGGCGTGCAGCACTTTCATTTCAGTAAATATTTTAGAAGACTTTAGAGATGACCAAGCAGCTTTCAAAAAAGGCACTCCTGATACTGTCTCACAGAACTGCAAGGATCTGTTTTTGTAAACTGTAAACATACATAAAATTATTAGTGCACCCTTTAAATGTTTTTCTGATGCCAATAAGCAAGCTGTTCCTGTACCATAATAACCACATGGCCCTGTTAAGTTTTGTGTTATTTTTCTCAGCAGGCCAAAAAGAATAAAAAAATCACAGCCCATTGAATTCTTATGGGGTACTTCACACAAATTTATATTATTCAACAATAACACAATACTGGCATGTTATATGTATGCAAAAACCTCAAATTGTGAATCCTTTGTGCAGCAGAAAATGTATTTCTAAAGTCTCATATTTGTAATTCCAAGGCCTTCTGCTCCTGTTGTTTACACTCCTAATCTATGTTTTCCTATTTTAGCTATTGGTGACTATACCTACATCACATACTGTACCAGGACTCACTTTATTATATACATTACGAATACCGGCAATGAAAACATCAATCTTAAAAAATGCAGCAATATTGGGGCACCTGGGTGGCTCAGTTGGTCGAACATCTGACTCTTAGTTTTGGCTCAGGTCATGATCTCAGGGTTGTGAGATGGAGCCCTGTGTTGGGCTCCGTGCTCAGTGGGGAGTCTGCTTGGGATTCTTTCTCCCTTTCCCTCTGCCCCTCCCCCTGCGCGCACATGCTCTCTCTCTGTCACACACACACACACACGCTCTCTCGCGTGCTTTCTCTAAAATAAATAAATAAACCTTAAAAAAAAAAAATACAATACTGACTTCTGGTTTCCAGTGTGGCACATAAGGAGTTTGTAGTTTCACTCCCATCCACACACAAGAAAAAAGTTGAACTAACTGAAAACCACCAACTCTTCTCAGATCCATTAGAGAACTGAGATCACAGAGAGAACCGCTGCTCCCAAAACCAGACAGATAAAGAAAATCACAACTCATCGGAGCAGAAACCCAAGATGAGAAACTTCCAGGTATCCAGGACCAGTGTAGGAAAATGTAAACTGCATCTGATGAATTAGTAGAAGAGGAACGTATAGGAGTTTGAGAGTTAAAAACCACAGGGGGGCCCAGTCTTAGTTTTACCTCCAAGAACTCCACCATGTTCTCAAGTGAAGATCAGAGTAACATCTCCTTGTGCTTTGGCAAAGAAAAAGGAAAAATAGACATTTTTCAGTAAGGCTGGGTATTCTGTTCTTCTTAACAAAGCCACCCTTGGAACACCTAGGTGGCTCAGTCAGTTAAGCGTCTGCCTTCAGCTCAGGTCACGATCCCATGGTCCTGGGATCGAGTCCCGCCTCGGGCTCCCGTCTGGGCAGGGACCCTACTCCCTCTCCTGCCACTCACTCCCCCTGCTTGTGCTCTAACAAATAAATCTTTAAAAAACAAAACAAAACAAAACAAGCCAACCCTCAAGACACACTCTTTTACCAGAGTCAATGGGCTGGGGTTTTACCATAAACTAACCAACTCCAGGGAAGGGAAATATCCAATCGCCAGCCAGCTTAGCCTTCCATATAGAGAAAGAGAAATACCCAATTCCAGTCCCTTCTAAGGTTTTTGCTTCAACCAGGGAGTTCAAAACAAAACACTAAAAAGCACTTCTGGGAGTAACAGCCCAGGGGCTTAGGCTCACTAGAAAACTGAAACCTAACCACAACAGCACATAATGCTTCTGCCCCCACACCCTATCAACACATCAATATGCTTCTATATAAGAGGAGAACTGAAAGGAGGAGACATCTCAGACCTTATTTAAGAAGTCTCCAAGTAAACCCAAAGAAAACGAGGCACAAAAACAAGGACACCAGCGGAAATTTTATCCTCTGCTTTTATTTTATACCTACAGCTTCAGTAAACATGGCCCAACACTGAGACAGATAAACATAAAACCTCATGCTAAAGGCCTGTTTACCTTAGTTCCTTTACTGTTACCATATTTCTGACTTTTAACAAAATATTACAAGGCGTACTAAAACAATATGGCAATAGAATTTAAAAATTCCCTAATTTAAAAACTGGTGAAAATTTAATCCTTGGTAGTATCGTTGATAACAAATTACACACGATAACTTAAATGTACAGGTAAACACACATTCACTAAAGTATAAACTCATATTATGCTTTAATTAGAACCTTTCCCATTTCCTTTCTCCCTTTCTCACACATCACTGGCACTATTCAACATTATGCTGGAGATCTTAGTCAATGCGTAAGATACCAGGATAAGACATTCACTCATCAGAAAAAGACTAAAAAAAAAAAAAAAAAAAAAAACCTGTCACCATACAAAGGTATTTTGAAAATATAAACTGTTCAGTAAGATGTCTGGTTAAAAGATTAGTGGATAAATAGTATTCATTTCCTATATACTAAAAAAATTTTATTAGGAAATGTAATTGAAGAACAGAATTTGATTCACAACAGTAAGAAAAAAACCCTAAAATATTTAGAACCAATCTAATAAGAAATGTGCACATTTTTATTGATGAAATCTTTAAGCTTTACTAAAAGAATATGAAAAGAACTATATAAATGAAAACATATGCCATGTTTCTCAAAGGGATTGTTCAGAATTTTGAAGACATCAAATCTCAATTACACTCTATGTACAATGCAATCGTAAACACCTATAGTATTAAAAATATGCATTATGAAATACTTCATCTAAAGAAAAAGAATAGAAAAATCTGATAAGAGACCACGGAACAACAAACCAGCTCACAAAACAAGACATTACCAATACAGTTGAAAAAACACCTATGAAAGAGATTTTCTCTATGATATAGCAAAAATTTACTTAGTAACTACAGCAATTAAAACAGTATGGTAGAGGCACAGGTATAAACACATGCACCAAAAAAATAAAAGACTTCAGGAATGGACCCTTCAATACAGGAAAACATGGCATACAGTAAAAGTGACATCCCAAATCACTAGTAAAAAGATTATTTAATAAACTGTAGGTAGCTGATTAGCATGGAAGAATAGACCCCTACCTCACACCACACAGAACAATTTTGCATATTTCATGGACCAAAGAGCCAAATGTAAAAAACAAAATTATAAAAGGTGTAAAAGGGGAAATGGCAAAGTAAGTAGCACAAGGATTCTGCATCCCACCACAACAAATGCATTGGCAGAATCTGTCTGATAGAACTATTTTAGAACTCTGGAGTCTGTTCAAGGTTTGCAACGTCCAGGGGAAGACTTAGAAGATAAACTACATTTAATTTCAGCTCTTACTACAGTAGCAGCTACCCATCCCCAACTCCTAGCTGTTTCCTAGAGCAGTTTACACACATCTTGTAGAGCCAGGATGGGCAAAAATGAACCCCTCCTTCAATTATCTGTGCTTCTCATCACCAAGGACAAAAGAGGTGGGCAGTCCTTGCACTTCCCCCTCTAATTCAGTCACTTGTAGGGGATTTAAAAGCCAGCATCCTTTCTCCTCTCCCTCCAACCCTCTTCATTTTTCACTTTTTCCCCTTCTGGGAGCCAAACATGAAAGACTAGGACGTTCAAAACAAACACTGCATACTTGAGGAAAATTACAAAGTGACTGCACATGCCCAGGAAAAGGCTCAAAAAAGATCTGAGAAGACTTCAAGATTACACCTCATTCTTCCACTTATGTTCTTACAAATGTAAATGAAACAATATAAATTCACTTATTCAGCCAGCCAGCCAGTTAACCAACTGGCATGTAAAGCTACATGCTCCAAGATAATAGATTTGATCCTGAAAATACAAAGTAAATCTGGTCAGAGCCCCTAAAGAACTAAAAATGTGGTGGAGAGACTGTAGAAGTTATTTACCATAAAGAAGTTCTAGGCTATAATAGAAAAATAAAGTAATGAGCCAGTGGGAATACACATGAGATAATGACTAAGTCAGGAAAAAGCTGAAGATTATACAGAAGTGACATTTGATCTAGGCATCTTAAAAGATGAACAGAAAATTGACTTGGAGGGCAAGATTTGGGAAGAGGCAACAATATGAGTGCACAGGTTAGAAGGCACAAAAGTGGGGCATGCACCAAAAAGTTACCTAAGACCAATTACTATCTATAGAACTTTGAGCAAAAACTGTATCTATTCCAGTTGAACAATAAGGGTAATGGTATCTACCTCAGATGCTTGCTGAGAGGAAAAAGAAGTGGTAGGTCAAGAAGGATGTGAGCAGTCTGGCTGCCACATTCTTCTACCCACTGACTTTCAAGGCTAACTCCACTGTTTTTACCTCAAGTTGGGGTGTCAACCCCTCACTGTTCCTCTAGAAGCCATCTACTTGGTAGAGGAGACAACCTCCTCAGCCATGTACAGTGGGCGGGCACAGTTCTTGACACTCAGTATTTACTCAAAAGAGTTTTTCTTTTTTTTTTTTAACCAGATGTTCAGAGTTCCATGAACTACTTTCTGACACTCCTGAGATCTGCCCTGCAATTACTGCTAGGGTCCTGACTCCCAGCTTGAGAACCAGTGGTATGTTTAATAAGCACCCCACCCAATCTGTACACATATTACTTCATACTTACAGGCTGAGGCTGTTCTGCAATACAGCAGTTGAAACACAACCAGAATTCACTCATGCTTATAAGTCCACGGTATAAATGAGCACCAATGAAGTTTTCAAATCTTGGCTCAGGAAGCTTCAAAAGCAAGCTCCTTGATATGCTGAGTGTCCAATGATGCCAAAAAAAAAAATAATTTTATTACTTCTCCGTGTTTTTGTTCCTGAAAGTCGAGTATCTACAGTCAATTTAATGAAGAAAGTCAATCTGTTTTCCTTTCTTTGCTTCTCGTTCTACAGAGACTCGTTTCTCAACCACCAGGAAGGTATAAAAATTGTTGTCTTGACTCAGGGCGTCTAACAGGTAATCTAAAAAGAAGAAAAATAGAAGAAAACAAGTTACTTATCCTTAGATGCTTTTATTTTTTTAAATCTGTGACAAAATTAAAATTATTTCCCCAAAAAGCATTGAAAAAAAAAATCAAAATTTTAATAAACTGATATTCAACAAAATTTTCTGAACACTTTGTCAGGTATCAGGAATATGGCAGTGAAATAAGAAATCCCTGCCTTCATAGAGCATCCTATTTTATGACTATAAAACTCTGAATTATTCTAATAAGTTTATTTTTTTTAAATCACTAAACTAGAACACTATTATAGCCATACAAAAGTCTCAAATTCCAAGAAGAAATACTGATCATTTTCATACAGGTTTCCTCACCTGAATCTCTATTCTCAAAGACAACCCAGAAAGTAACTGGTAGAACAATCAACTCTTAGATAATTAAGCAGCTGTAACTCATCAATAACCATAAATAAAACTAGCAGCTTCTCCAATGAAGTTGAAATTGAACATGAAAGATGGACAGGGTCTAATTTTGGCTTCATTTTGTGAATTAAGACATTAGATTCCTGCCACCACCATCACCAGAATCAGTGTCAGTAAAAACAGTTTTTTATATCCCACAAGTAGCTAACCAACAGAGTCATTCAGAATCCACGTCAGGCCATTTTCTTTTTTTTCTTTTTCTTTTCTTTTTTTTTTTTTTTTTTTAAAGATTTCACCCATCCATTTCACAGAGAGAGAGAGAACGCGCGCACAAGCAGGGGGAGCAGCAGAGGGAGAAGCAGGCCTCCCGCTGAGCAGGGAGCCCGATGCGGGACTCTTATCCCAGGACCCCGGGACCACAGCCTGAGCCTAAGGCAGACGCTCAACTAACTGAGCCACCCAGGCATCCCTGTCAGGCCATTTTCTATGTGGAGCTGGGCAAAGAGTGAACCTATCCTTTCTTCGTGACTGCCAAGCTGTTGACTTTAAGAAAGGCTTTTGCCAAATAAATTCCAAACTTCATGTAGATGACTGTTCTGAGATAATAATGCCGACAAGCACAGACAAGAGAGAGGAGGAAGTCTAGAGGACATGAATCTCTACTTCCACTCATCCCTAAGACCAGTTTGAGCTATGCATCTGAGCTTTGGTTTTGTGAGGCTGTGTTTCTCTCTCTTTAGCCTGAAGCTACACTGAAGTGGATTTCTATCACCTGCAGCCTAGTACAACCATCAAGTAAAGACCTCTGGATGTACAGTTGTGAAGCCAAGGAAAAGTCCCGGAATTACCAGCAGATCATAAATGAAGCCATGAATCCTAAATTCTTTTTTAAGATTTATTTATTTGAGAGAGAGAGAGAAAGCAGGCGAGCGGGGAGAGGGGCAAAGGGAGAGGGAGAAAGAGAAACCCAAGCTCACTGACACTCAACCGACTGAGCCATCCAAGTGCTCCTGAATCCTAATTTCTAAGGAAAGCTGCATCATGAAAAGCCAAGAGGGTCTAATAGAGAACTCTAAGTAATAGCATCATTTAACTACGGGTAGAGGAAGAAAAGTCTACCGAGAATATTTGGCTATTACCAGAGAGAGAGAGAGAGAGGAGGAAAACCAGTTAAAGTGGTGTCACTGGGGCCTGTTTCAAGGAGGAAGTTGGTAACAGTATTAACTGCTGATGAGATAGCCAAGACAGAGAACTGTCCATCAGAATGGGCAGAAGATACTCGGTGGTCCTGGTTACATCAACTTCATTGAAGTAGTGCCGGCAGAAATCAGATTAGAGAGAGCTGAGAAGTGAGTAAAGGGAAAGAAGCAGAGTCAACAAATGTAGGAAATATTTCCCAGAAAAGACATGGTAGGGTGGCAGATACAGTGAAGAAAAGAGCCATCCCTGAAATGAAAAGACCAAAGATGCATTAATGAGATTACTCAAAGAGTGTATTAACATTTTTGCCCCAAGTAATCAAACATATCACATATTTCTCAATCTCTGAAAAAGATATAGTCCATTTATAAGCTATCCCAACTATAAATCAGTAAAAGACAGCTACATTACAGGATCACACACCCTGAACATTAAGTGAAATAACATTCCTCCCTTTTGTGTTCTCCAAAGCCATGACTGGAAACCTGGTAAGACACGAATGACAGTCATCTTTGTATCTGTATGGATGAAATTCTTCAGTAAAGATAAATGCATGTATGTTTAATGTCACAAACGTGGGACTCTGATTCTACTGAGTCCACTGGACAAGTCCCCTATGAGAGGTTAAGATTTAAGCCTATGTTCAAGGAGGAAGATCAGAAGGAAGAAAATTTACATTCTTGCCATAGTTAAAATTCAGAACCTGGAAGATTTATTTTTAAGCAGGGATGAACATTCCTCATCTCACCCAAACTTCCAAAACAAAGAAGTGGCAGTGTTGTAACTGACTTTGTCAGTGAACTAGGTAAATACTGTGAAGGTTCAGAAACTCTTACTTCCTTCTTAGGAAGAATCTAAGAGGAAGGGTTAAATTCACAATAACAGGAACATTATTTAGTGTTGCATTTAAGAAGTTTAATTCCACCTTGATCAAAGACCTTGGGCATTAAGAAGTCATTGTGCCAGTTGTAAAATAAATAAGTCATTAAGATGAAAAAAGCACAACATAGGGAATACAGTCAATAATACAGTAATAACTGTGTGGTGACACATTGTAACTACACTTCTCTCCTGATGAGCATTTCATAATGTATATAACTGCCAAATCACTATGCTGCAAGCCAGAAACTACTATTTCAACTGTACTTCATTACAAATAAGAAAAATTTCTTAATGAAAAAAGACGTCATTGTGAAATGAAGTCTCTTTTAACCAATTCTATGAAAACAAATATACCTTTGTTTGAAACTGAAAATTCTTTATGCTCATCACTGTTGCAACACAGACATGGAAAAACTTCAAATCTATTGGATTTGAAATTTGATATTTAAAAATCTATGGTTTAATTTATTCTATTTTCTTATCTACATATAAAGTCAGGCAAATTTCGTTTTTATTTGGAAATTATGTTTTCCAGAAACCATCTTCAAATATTAATTTTGGATTGGGAGGTGTAGTTTCTTCTTTTTTAATTTTATTTATTTATTTGAGAGAGAGAGAGAGAGAGAGAGAGGATGAGCACAGAAGGAGAGTGAGAGTGAGAAGCAGACTCCCCACTGTGCAGGGCCTGATGTGGGACTCGATCCCAGGACCCTAATAAGATCATGACCTAAGCCAAAGGCAGACACCTGACCAACTGAGCAACCCAGGTACCCGTTTCTTCTAAGTGTTCTGTTTAATACTTAAAATTAATAAAGAGCTTCCTAATATACAATCCATAATACTTTATCACCTTTCCTTGTTCCAAATTCAGACCTCGTTCCCATTTAGAGTAAAGCTATTCATTAATTTGTGATTTTTAAAATATACAATTTCACACTCACATGTACCTTGGAAAATGACATTCATAAGACTTCCTCCTCCCTTGTGTTTAAAGAATGATTTTTAAAAGTGCAGTAATTTTTGCCTCATTTTTGGAAATAAGACAGACAGGATATACAGCTTAAGTTATTTCCACCTAGATAATCATGAAATGCACTTTCAAACCAAGCAGATGTTTGCAACTCCACAGCTCTATATTTGTTAAGTAAATACATGAATCTAAAAATGTCTCAAACACGCCTTGGAATGTCATGCAAATACATTTCCATCTTCCTCCTTTTCTAAACAAACTTCCTTGTCACAATTATTTTTCAAAAGTGCATACTTAAAACATTTATATATGAACACCTGGAGAGAAGTATTAAATTTATCACAAAACAATTTCCCTAGTAATATATAAACTATAGTTACTTCCATTTCTTGAGCTGACAGTTGCTTAAAACATTTCCATTTTGAAAACCTTGTACTTTTAAAATCTTAAGACAATAAAAGGAGTGTCACTTTGCAACAACATCAACATCTAAATTTGGCTTGAAACACAGCTCAGCACATTCCACACATATATAAGGGGTCAGACTGGTCTACAGCACCAGACGGGGTATTTCACAAATGCACAGGTTCACGAGACAAAATTTTAGAAAAAGTTTAAAGTGAATTATCTGGCCATTCAGTGACTGGCAGTCTCTCTGAATTAAAAGCTCAGTCTCCTGGCTTTCAAAGAGACTGGCATGAGTTAAAAAAAAACTGCAGTAGTACTCTCCACCATCAGCTTCCTCTCCTCCTTACACTCTGCACTTGGATCGGTTTTCCTCTCTCCAGAGTAATTTAGAAATAGAAATGCTGGGTCTTACTCTACGTTTAATTTCAGCTTGGTAAGAAACGGCTCACCCATTCTGCAAATCCGTCGTACCATTCTGCACTTCTGCTAGCAATGCAGGAGTGTCCCCGCTGCTCTACAGTTGTCAGTCTTTTCAGTGTTGGTCTTTCTAGTGGGTATGAAGCAGTAACTTGCTGCGGTTTTAATTTGCACTTTGATGATAACTAATGATAGTCTTTTCTTTAGCTTGTTTGGTAATTCATCTATCTTCTTTGGTTACATATGTTGAGATCTTTTGCTCACTTTTTAATTTAGTTGTCTTATTCAACTGTGTTCTTTACATATTCTAGATCAAGTCCATTGTCCAAAATAAGTACTGGGAGTATCTTTTCCCAGGCATTCTTTTTTTAAACAACATCTTTTGGGGCACCTGCGTAGCTCAGTGGGTTAGGCATCTGCCCTCAGCTCAGGTCATGATCTCGGAGTCCTGGATGGAGCCCCACATGGGCTCCCTGCTCAGCTGGGAGTCTGCTTCGTCCTCTGCCCCTCCCCCTGCTCATGTGCTCTCTCTCTCAAATAAATAAATGAAATCTTTAAAAAAAAATCTTTCAAATAGTTTGTTTTTTGATAGTTTGGTTTATTGATTTTGTCTTTTATAAGTTACGCTTTTTGTGTACTGTCTAGGTTCTTCATATTTCCATATACATTTAGATTCAGTTTGTGTCAATTTCTACAAAAAAGCCTCTGGCACTTGATTGG